TATACACCAACACACATTTTCTTCTATATCAGAAAATTGTAAATTTATATGTTCTGGGGAAGGGAAAAAACACTACCGAAAGACACTGGAGAAGGACCAAAAGCAGATAGTAACTAGAGTGAAGATGGTCCCTGCAAGAAGAAATTTCACCAGGTAAGGTTTCCTTTTATGTGGCTTTTTACCTGACAACACTCAACAATCTATGCAGAGTGGGGTAGCTCAAACTGAACAAGAATGCCACCATCCCAACTCATTAGCCTGAGAACCCAGAGAAAGAAACGCCGAAGAAGGGATGCCAAAGAAGGGGGATAATCTGGGAAAAGAAAGAACTGCCAAGAAGTGAGCCCTGAGACGTGTGCGTGTGTACATGCATGTATGTCCCTGTACCATCCAGAAATACTTAGGGGAGCCTTCAGGGGACTTGCAGAAAGCAATACCGTAAAGGCTGAAAGAGGGGCAAATTCAGGTAGGTTAACTGCATACTAGAACAAGAATCAAGGATTCACAGAGGATGTGAACAGCATGAAGAATAGGTACAACATGTTATCAACTGTAAAGTTACTAGAGAAAAAAGGAAAATGTAAAAACTACAGGAAAAAGACCACAAAATGACAGAGATGCTAAAATGAGCAGAAAAGAACAATGAAATATCTACTATAAGTGAGTTCAAGACAATAAAGAAAAACACGATGACGACTAATGAAAGAGGGAAAACTTACCAGAGAAAAACTAACAGGGGAACAAACTAACAGGGGAACAAAACAGAAGGAATTAATAGAAAGCAAGTGAAAAATGTTTTCCCTTTTGTTTGCCATCGTTCCCAAGGTCATGAATAATGAGACCCTTATTTTTTTATTTTATTTTATTTTTTTCATGACTGAGTCTTATAAAACCCATTTATGGGACAGTGGTATTTTCCTGTTTACATCAAAGGAAAAGGCAGGCACAGAACAGTGTGTAAATAACTGTATAGAAAAGAAAAATTAACATTTTGACTTGTTTGTAAGTTCATAAGAAATAATTTCTGGAAGCATACAGAAAAAATACTTAAGAGTAACTGCTTATTTGGGTATTGGGAAGATCTGGAAAGATGAGGTAGAAATGACAATTTCACTTGGTAATGAAATGATATCATCTTTAATTGCTGAATCATGAGAATGTAGTATTTAAAAACAACCAAACAAAACACCTCAACTAAATATACACTCATTCCTCATTAAGCAACATGGCTAGGTGCCAAAGACCAGGCTGTTATGCAAAAATCACTGTTATGGACAATGCAGGTGACTACCTAACATAGGTGACTATATAACATAGCTACCCAACCACTGAGAATCACGGCCCTGCCAAGCTGACACACAGCCCCAACCATCACAGTCAGCGTTCTTGCCTAGCACCTCGTGTTCATTCCTCCCAGATGCATGTCACTGATGTGCAAAATGATAGGATAGTAGATAGTTTACTT